TTCCGAATAAAAAGCTCATTAAGAGACGCCCATGTAAAATTACCAAAAAAAACCACTAACATTTATTTAAACTGCGATACCTAAGCTACAATAAGGGCAAGCAAATTACGCAGCCTATTTTCCACAATTTTATATTCATTACGGAAGTTTCTCCAAGCCATTTCAATTTAATTTTCCCCTATTTCGTCCTTTATATTATCCTTGCAGCCTGCTGGACGTCCTCTGCAGTGGGAGTGGCGCCCGTTTGGCCCTGGGAACCTCGGTAATCTCGTATCTGATTGTCTACAATGAGGCATCCGCTCCGAGCCTGCTGTTCGCCGTCATTTTGGCCACCATGTATGGCACACTGGCGGGTGAGAATCGGATGGTATATATAGTCCACAAATATTCCAAACTATGATACGTTATTCCAGCACGTTGCAAAACAAGTCTACGCAGCCTGCAAATGCCGTATGTGCGGGCCACGAATAAGTTTGACTTTGGCTGTTTGTTTTTGGCCACCTGGCTGGATGCCCTGGCTGCCATGTGTGCCTGTGCTGCTCTGGCCAGGACCCTCAGCGCCTGTTTGGATGCCATGACCGGGGGTCTGGCCAGGATCCTCATATTGGGTGAGTGGTAACTGGCTCTTAGGAAAATTAAAGAGAGCTGAAATGCTCTGAGAAAAAACTAAATACATTTATGTATACATTTTCGCAAATAATACAATTTAAATATAACTCTATGCAAACAATAAAATATGATATAAAAACTAATACATTTATGTATATATTTCGCAAATAATACAATTTAAATATAGCTCTATGCGAACAATAAAACATGATATAACAAGACAAACATTTTTCAACAAGATAGATAATAAACCAAAGGTTATTTGATAAAACCAATTTTTTTTAAGTATACAAAAAATTGGTGTTATTAAAAGAGAATTAAATAAACTGTTATTTATTAAAGGGGTAATTACATTAAAATCTTAAGTTTAATTTATATGGCTTATTCTTTCGTGAAACAATTTGTTACTTACGATTTCATTAAACACATTTTTGGTAAATATCTATATATATTGCAGAGAAAGTGTTTTTTTTTTTAGTAATGGCCCAGGTCTTTGTAGTTGCTAAAATTACAACTGACAAAATAAAAGTAAAAAAAACTTCATTTACAAAAGCTAAAAATAGTTAAATAGTGGCCTAAAACAAAAAACAAAATAAAATACTTCCATGCTTTTAATCTTAGCCAATCTTAATTGGGCGTTTTAAGCCAATCTTAATTATATTTTTAAAATATGATTTCATGTCAAGTTTTAATTTAATACTTTTAAATGAACATTATTTCTGTTCATATATATAATCTATACATACGTATACTCAATATTTCGGCGCGAACTGTGTTGGCTGAATGGAAAATAAAACGTTGCCTACTTTCAGGCCGCAATGCACCCGCAAATGAGCCTTGGCCGGATGTTCTGGGCGTCTCCGTTGTCTTCCTCGTCACTGGGATGTTCATGCTGGGCCTGGAGGTGGGTACTCCTTGACCAAGTCCCAATCTAGACACCCACTTTCATTGCATTAACGTATTCACAGCACTCAAGGGCCTTCAGCCTCATCCTGACACTCGGAATGTTTGGCTTGAATGCCATCCTAAGCGCCGTCGGCTGGTGGCGGGGCGACATGTTGGCCTGGTCTGCGGAGAACTACTTCCAGCCCGATGGCATTAGCAGTGTAAGTGGTCGTAGCCGTAGTATCCCAATCCCCCATCTACCATCTGGAACTTCGTTATTGGGTCAGTGCACTGTGCCAGTCTGAGTTTTTTGTTTTTTGTTTAGCGGGTTTCCCTTTTTTTGTTTGCCGACTCCCATCGATTTTCGCTGTCGTGACTGGGAACAATTGCGTGACTGCGGCTGAAGGCACAGGATACGGGCTTTTGATTATGACACGTTCTGCCGCGTTTCGTTTTTGTTTTTTTGAGCCCTTTTCTCCGGCATTCCTTGGTGGAAAGCCACCAGTCAGACAGCAAAAACTCGGAAGAAACGTGGGCTCTCATGAAACCGAATCCGGTAATACTCTTAAAATTCCCTTTAAAATCTTTCCTGAAAAATCATTTTTATATCTTGAAACAGTTTGTTTATAGATCTTTAAATTTGTTACATTATAAGACAAAATGTATGCAGTTCACACTATAAGCTGTACATTTTTAAGATAACTTTTTTTTAGATATTTTTGAATTTCTGTCGTAATCCTTTAAAGTTGTTCCCTTAAAATGATACTTTAATATTTTTTTTTTAGTAACACAATTTTGTTTAAGTAACGTGTGGTAAAAAGGTCTTTAAAGTCAATTGAAGTTATAATTTTCATATAAGTAATTACCTTCAAACACGAATTATAACACCCTGTCTTAGGGACTAGAACAGTTTTCTATGGGGTGAACAACATTGTAGACTAAGGGAACGTCTGTTATTAGCTTATTTGAGGAATTATCCGGCTAATAACTGGTTCTAACCACCACCTGCAGGTCTTCCTGGCCACAGCCCTGCTCACGTACTCCTTCCCCAGCGATTGGCCCCAACAACATCGAAGTGGTCGATTCACGGCGACCTTAATCACCGGATTGGTCAGCACTTCGCTGCTGCTGACAGCCATTTGTCTCTCCACAGTGGTGCACTACAAGTAAGTTTGATAAAGAGATAATCACTGACATGAAACAAATTTATTTACTCGTATACAGTTCTGTGAAGTACATATTATATTGAGATTTTATAATAAGCTGGTGTGTTTCAGGAACCCTTATTTATAGAATAGGGATCATTGACTTGCAAGCTTTATATGGTTAGTTATTTATTATAATTTATCAATGTATTCCATTCCAGAACCCATGAAGACTATGTAGCTGTGCCTCTATTCAACATCCTAGATGAAAGTGGCTTCCATAAGTTGGTGCCCGCCTCGGCTTGTATGTTGCTCCTAACAAGTTCGGCGGCATTTCTGGAACTTTTTCCGGAACTTTATGGCATTGTGGTGCGTTTGGCCACCTCGGAGTGGAGGATACTGTCCAAGCAGATCAGTTACGAGAGTTCGGAGAGTGGAAATCCCGTGCTGGCCGTTTTCATTGCCGGCAGCATGTGCGCCATGTTGGCCTTTGCCTGTCCATTGCAGCATCTTAGTTATACACTAGCCGCTGGCCACATGGGTGGGGTATTCCTGCGGGCCTTCTATCTCCTGTATATCCCCTACAGACCAAAGTTTATGGCGCCCAGCAGCGAGTCTTCACTGTCGTACAGTCGTCTGTCCACCGCACCGATTGCCAAGAGTAGCAGTTACAGCAGTGCAACAACTTCTAGTTCGAGTCGGTTGAAGAGGAGTCTCTGGAAGATCGGTCTGCACAAGCACGGTGGCCTGAAGAAACCTAAGACGAAGCCCAGAAATAAGCAGGAGCTGGAAAAGGAGTGGCTACTCCTGGGCGAACCTACATCGCCCTGTCCGCAACGGGAGGGCAGAGATGTGGAATCCACCATTCTGTCCGATGGGGAGCCTCCGGTAAGTGCAGAAGAGGGATTTATTAAAAATTTATTATGATAAGAGGGTATTGACTAAAAACCATTTTGAAAGATTTCACTTAAAAATAAGTATTTTAATCACACCGTTAAAAAATGTGAATTATCAAATTGTGATAAGTCTTTACAGCTGGTAGAAGTACAAGTCTTATAGTTCAACTAATCTATTTACTAATCATTGAACTATTTAATATCAAATATTAAAATCGTTTCGCTTATTAAATATTTATGCATCTTATGCATTTCTTAGAAGCATTCAAAACTTTTGCTCAGATAAACACCCTCAAAAAATTAGTGTGATTCGTCTATTCCATGAAGTACTTAATATATTTTTTGCCTTACTCAAAGTCTTTTAAAAATATACATAGTTATATTTAAAACATGAAGAAAATATCTATTTAAATATGTTAAAATTTCATAAATGTTTTTAATGATTGTGTTTCCTAGCCATCTGACTTTGAGTACCCAGATAAGTTCGACAAGAGCGATTCGGACACCTCAACGGACATTGATGCCATTGTGGACGAGTATCGTGAGAAAATCAAGGTGAGAACCAGTCACAAATACCTATGTTATATTTATTTCCAAAATCATTTATTTTTCAAAAATTCCAGGTAACCACAGCAGGTCCTTTGGAGCGCAGTGTGCGAGTGCCTACAGTGAGCTCCTGGCGGGTGACCATGTTCGCCCTTGTGGTGATTGGATTAGGTATTGCCCTCTGCATTGCCGGTCTGATGATGCACTGGGCACCGGCAGCTTTGACAGGCGGAATTGGAGTCCTGATTGTCACTATAATGATGGGATTTATACCCAAATATACGGGCAGTGTGATCAACGTGAGTCCCGTGATTTGTGGAATGTCACTGCTGATGGGCGTAATCCTTTTCAGTGGATGTGCCATACATTCCTGGCCGGGATTGCTCATTTGGCTGATGGCCGGACTGATAATGGTGATCAGATGCGATAAATACTGCTGCAATTGCTTCGAGCACACGACCATACTGAATGCCCAGTTGATACCAAGTGTCTCTGGGAAAAGCAGTGCGGGATCAGCATCGGGATCGGTAGCGAACTTGGCTGGTCCATCCACTAGCATCCGGATACCCAGACCGCCCAAGGGAGTGGGCGTGGTCGGGCTGCCACAGCGTGTCAATGGCCACAGATGACAGTCGGAGTCCTCGGAGGAGGAGGGCGAGGACCTGTTCCACGAGGACTTCAATGTGCGCGACTTCGATGAGGAGGACGACGAGGATTGCTGGACTGATTAGCTTGCCGCCTTCGAAATCTATTTAGGAAACCATTTACTTGCTATGCAGATCTCCAGGATGATCTAGCTTCGAGCCACATATGCCTGAAATTTTCTAGCTAGCTAAATTGTTTGTCGAAATTTACCCATGTATTTATGTAACTATAGCTAGGCGACTCTCTCTACAAATAGGTTCCAAATAAAATTCAATTTTTCAAAATGAAAGTAAACGTAATTTTTATTCAAGCGAACGAAATTCACATTTATCTACAGATAACAGAAAAGCTTTCTAGGCATATAAATTCTCATTCTCCATGAGATAATCCACCAGTTCCCTGATGGGCGACATGATAATCTCCTCATAACCAGGTTGAATGTCCATTACCCTTAGTAACAGTTCACTCCGATCGACATTGAGATAATAGTCAAACTTCTCTGGCTCTTCGGATCGCAATCTATTCGAAATACTAGGCGACATTTTGGTCTGAGGCTCGGTGAGAGCCCAAATAAGTAGTGCTGCTAATCGAGTTCGTTGGCTTTCTTTCAGAAATATCTCTCGAGTTATAAGACTCTTTTCCAAACCCATGCGATTGAGATGAGATTCCAGGCCATTATAATAGTGCTCAAGGCACTCATCATATATCTCCTTTCTGACTTCAACGGATGCAACAATATAAAGTAGGAACAAAACATCTAAAGTGGGAGAACAGTACTTGGCTATCTGAAAATCTACAATGCAACAAGCATTGGGTAAAACTGAAGAATTGTTCTCGAAATGATATAGGATATTACGATCCCAGGCATCACGATGACATAGTACATTTCTAATAGTCTGTGAGGGTTCAACCAATTTTTCAGCTTTGGTTAGTAAGTTGTAAAGCTTATCTTGGATAAATTGTTGAGCTTTACTTGTTTGATATTGCGGATGACGGGCTGCTAAAAAAACAATGGCCTACAGAATTAAAAAAGGAAATAATTATATTATAATAAACTTTACTTTTTAGCCAGACTCTTTACCAACCTTAAGTCCAGTTATGTACCAAGAATTATTCGCGTCCAAATGCAATTCAATAAGCACATCTTTGTAATTTTTGTAAATATTTAAATTATCCTTTTCTTCCCAAGCAATACTTGCAGCATGTAATTCAGATAAGTGTTCCAGCACCAGTTTATAATGATCTAAGGTATAGCTTTCGTTGGCATTGAGGTGTCTATAGTTCTGGGTGAGATCTTCTAGAACTAGAATGTCATTCCGACTGTAGTAGCATTTTGGAAAAAGCTTCTTTGTGGCTGAACAAGTTATATATTAAATTAAAAAAAATCGAAAAATTTTAACTTTTCTTACCATATTTTTGAATGTTGGGTAATATATGAGTGTAGACGGCTGATTCCTTATGAAAAACTCCCTTGCGTTCACATTCTTCTCTTTGTGGCTCATTTTTGCGGGGCAAACTTTTGATAAAATATTTTAGGAAATGCTTTTCCTTTTCCTCTATGTCTTCTACCTCCAAGTGCAATTTATAGTACTCGCCCATGTATCCCATAAGATCATTGGAACCGGCATCCAGCTGAGAATTTAGTACTATGAGATGGGTCTTGTCGATTTCTGGAAGCGTTCTCTGGGCTATAAGCACATACTCCTCTGGACTTAGTAGATCCATTGTTGAAGAATTAAATGATGTTATCCGCTTCGTTTCCAGAACCCAAATAAAACAGCTCGAGAAGCTACCCAAGAACATGTCTTTTATAAGATTTTGTCAGTTGAGATATCAAAATAATCTTAAGAGATAAAGAATTAGATAGGTATCTACTTTTATTCATATCATCCAAGATATCATAGTGCCTTTATTAATCTACAAATTCTTGTATATTAGACCAATTAATACGATTATTATCTATACAACAAATCCATATAAAAGTGAAGATACCCCAAAAACGTAACTAACAATCCCCATCAAGCTTAAGCGATAAGATAGTCCCCTGAGAGGAGAATTGGTAAACAGAGAGCACACCCCAAACTGATAGGATCCCGAGTGTTACCAGGGGGACAGAAAAAGATAGTGTGGTGCTACAATGTCGTTTAATCAGTTTTGTTTATGATATGTCAGGGCCAGCAAATCCCCCACACATTCGTACATATAATCAGCAAACTCGGAATGATCTTTCATCAAACGGAGAACATCTTTCGTGCGGTCCACATTGCAAAATCGATGAAAATCCTCGGGGCGTTCATCCTTTAGGTTTTTCAGATAATTATCAGGTAAACGGAGAATAGTTGCCGCCAAGCAATTGTATATCGCTCCAAACAAAGCAAAGTCTTTCAGAGATTGCTCGAATTCTTGTTTACTAAGTTGTTCCTGATTGGGATCAATACCCGTTTCTCGTAGCTCCCCAGCCAATGCGTTGTAATATGTTTGAGTCAGACTCTCAATTATCTTTTTTCGACTTGAAGGTTCCAAATTTAAATAACTGACCAGGTGAAAGTCTATGGCTGGTGGGGAATAGCGACAAAGTTGAAAGTCCACCAGAACAGATCTTTTCTCCAGAGGCTGCTCCAGGTGATAAAAAACATTTGCACCCCAGGCGTCTCGGTGGACAAAGACGTTCCTATGAATTGGTGACGGATTAACCATAAAGTAAACCCTGTCCAGGTATCTTGGCAACTTGGATGCTATAAACTCTTGGGCTTCGGCATCATTTAAGACATCCGGATGGGTGGCAGCCACTGCCAGGACAGCCTGAATAAATGCAAGGCATAAGATATGAAAGATGATTCCCTAATAAGTTTTTACTTACTCGTAAGCCCGTGGTATACCAATCAACATCAGGATGAACAGAGACTTCATAAAGCACCTCTCTAAACTCCACTCCTATGGATTTCCCCTCCTGTTTCTCGTAGGCAATACTACTGGCGTGCAAAGTGGCCAAAGATTTTAAAATGGGTCCCAACTGATTCTCACTTAGAAAGCGAGTTCCTGAAGGTAGGGCCACATAGCCCATATCCTCCACATTTTGCATTACAAACAGATCTTTGCGGGTGAAATAGCACTTGGCACACCAAATATGGGGAGCTGTTATAACTCAAATATAATAATATCAAAGAGTACACTAAAAATTCAAACTTACAAAATTTCTTTAGATCGTTCAGCAATTCGTACAGCTTACTCTCCTTCTTAATAAGACCCATTTTCTCCATATAGAATTCCATATTAGCATTTTGGAAGATCACGGACTTGACAAACAGTCGAGAAGTTTGTACGTCTTTCTGATTCTCCAATTGATATCTCAGATACAAGTGAAAGTATTCACCAAGAAATCCCACATGTTCTGTGGCTGGAACTACATCACAATTTACTAAAAGCCCATGCTCGTTCTTATCGGTTAATAAATTTGCTAGTATCTCTTTACACTCTTCTGTACTAAACAAATCCGTCCGATTCTTTCGCGCTAGGACTGGGTTATATTGATCGTTACTCATTTTTTGTTAATCCAGTATCACTATCACGACTCTACGGCTGTTGATTTTAAACTGTTTTCATTTTCAGTTGGTATTGAATATTATACCAAAGAGTATGATTCTTCATAGAGAGCGCGTGAGCATACCTGTTTTGTCAAAGAGCTTGTTTTATTTTAAGACTTCGTTTATTGCAGTTCTTTTACAAACGGATTTCGCAAAAACATTTTATTACATTTTTTATATTCCTGAAACTTGATTTACGTATACTATTCGGTAAATAAGTAAACGCGTGTATTAGGATTTGACAAAAATATAACTCTTTTAGTTGGATTTTTTAAAGTTTGTAGAAAGAACGACAAATTTTAAAAAGTTCCTCGCCTGGAAAATTTATTTCTCCAGCTGTAGTTATCCGATTGACTAAATTTTTGTTGTATTTACTCCTCTGAAACCTCTTCTTTAAAAATACATTTTTTTAAAGACACTAAATTTATATTTTCTTATGCATTCTATGTATTTATACTCTTTAATTATTATTATTAGAGGATATACTCTATAATGTTGTGGCATAAATAACTTGAATTTAAGAAGGTTCACAAAGAAAGTTCTTTATTTTAATATTTTAATATTAATATTAATATTTTAACGTACTTATGGTTGCATTATTAGTGGTACCTACGGGAAATAAAAGAGCATTTAAGGTTCGTTTGGAGGAATTTATTGTTTGTTTTGTTTTATTTACAATCACTTCTTATCGCCCTATAGAAGTCTTCCTTATCGACAGTCCGACGAACCAAGATTTCCTCACATGTTTGCCCTGGACAAGGCCATTTCCATGACATCCACACAGCACTCCTCCATGTAGGTCCTAAACTCTTCATTCGTTTTCATATAAGAGAGGATCACCTTGCTGCGATCCACGTACTTGAAATCATTTGTAATAAATTCAGTGGGAACCTTAATGACTGTAGCTGCCACAGCTCTGTAGACCACTCCAAATAAACGGAATTCTTCGTACGATTCAATCAGTTCTGATTTGGAAATAGCTAGTTCCTTAAGATCAAAGTCAGAAAGATTCTGCAACAAATATTTGTGGTACAAATCAATGAACTTCCTTTCCATTTCCTTTCGATTCCATAAACTCAAGTTCATGTATAGGCAAAAATTAAGGTCTAATGCTGGGGGAGTGTAGCGACAGGTCTGAAAATCAATTAGCAAAGCGGGACCACTCTTTTCCGGAGGAAAGAAAATATTACCTGCCCAAAGGTCGCGATGGCAAAGGACATTCCTGTACTTTTTCGAAGGAGCAGCCTGCTCATATATTTCCTCCAATATGGTCATAAGTTTGTTGTCTATAAAAGATAGTTCCCTATTTTCCTGATATTGTGGTAGACTTCGAACAGCAGCCAGGACAGCCGAGAGTCCTGTGGTGAACCAGGCTATTTCAGGGGCTACAGTGATCTCTAGCAAATGATCTCCATAGGCCTGACCTATATTGGTTTTAGTTTGATGTTCATAGACCAAGCCAGCTGCATGAAATGCTGCCATTGATTTGATCAACTGTTCCATGAAAACCTCATCAAATTCTGCGGAACCAGCTGATTTGAAACCCTTTAATTTGATGTCCTCCAGAACTATTAAATCGTTTCGAGTGTAAACACAATCAGCGCTCCATTTTATGTTGCCTATAGATGCATTTATATTGTTACTCAGATTTATTTCCTATATTTATATAAAACTTTCTTACTTACTACATTTTTGCATTTGTTTCATAAGATTCTCGTAAAGCCAGGTCTCCTTTTGAAAAATTTCCTCTTTAGCCAGTTCCGCACTTTGCTGGGGCATAGCTTTCACAAAAAATTGAATTTCCCTTACGACTTTATCATCCTCCTAAAAGTAGGCCACAAAATAAACACTTTCGGGTTGCTATGCTGTAACAAATTTACATTATATTCTTCTAGTTGTAACTGACAGCGGCTATCTTTTGATTTTACCAATTAATCACTTCCAAACTAATTGATTAAATGCTGACAAATATATACTATGCACTTTATACTGTAGCATTCAAGCAATCAATAATAAATTGATAAGAAATCTAAAAGTGTTTGTATACATAAGATTCACTTTGCCTATTTATTGATCAACAAAAAAAAATATTGACAAAACTATTTGTTATGGCATTTCTTATTTTATTTAAACCAGAAGATAGGAAATTATTTATCCTTTGATTAAAGGGCTAACAAAAAATGTTTCCTAAAGTGCCCAAAATATCCCCTTAGGAACCCTAATCTTGCACTATCATTTATTATGGTCACACGCTTCCATTTTATAACATTGAATCTTTGATCAAGAGATAAACCATTAAGATAATACCATTTTAGTAAAGTCCATATCATACTTACAGCGCAATATCTTAGAGTCAGTGAATAGTAATCCCCTAGGTAACCGATCGCACTAAGATCTCTAACCAAATGATAGTCCAATAGTTTTCCCTTTCCGGCACTATTTTGCGCATTTTGCAGTATTTTCTCGCACTCACTACGGCAAAGCATTATGTTGCGTATACGTCAGGTGGGCGTATTACGTATACGTTCGATCTTACTCTCACTCTCTATTTTCTAGAATTCTAGATTGGGCTGAGCAACTTTTCCGACACTTTCCACTCAGCCAACTATAGCTACAGTTGGCCGTGCACAACTGAGCAAAAATAGAACTTAGTTCGGTTTTTATTTTCCGTGAAACTTTTTCACACTATTACATCTTTTGAATGAACAGATGCAAGCAAATAACTGCAGTAGTATAACTAATATTTTTGTTCAGATATGTAGAGTGATAAGATTTAGCTTTCGGCTTTGTTCTTGATACAGACTCTGGCATTGTGAAGATAAGCATTGAGGAAATAGTTACAGAAAAATATTTTTAAATTTTTAAAAAAAATGTTATATATATTTGCGATTAAGAAATGTAATTTTTCGAACAAAATATTTTAAAAGTGATGAATGATAAATATTGAATTTATTAGGTTTGTGCTCAAAAAGATTACAATAAAGCAATGTTTAAAGCTGACTCAATGAAATCTCTTGGGCAAAATCAAGCGCTTCAAGCGACGTTTCTCATTCATATATGTGGTATAAGGACGAATGGTAATGTAGTAAAAGATCTCCACAAAACTGAGTAGACTGGCGCCAACAAATAAGCCAGTAGTGCCACCAATAGACACTAAAAAAAGGAGTACTTAAATCTTAAGACAATATTATTATCCGTTTAACTTACCAACCAAATCCAATTTGCCACGGACCAAATTCCTTTTGTACCGCTCCGTGGGTAATTCGATTAGGCCGACTTCGATTCTAGAGACAGGATTCTGACTGCCCGCCATATTTTCTTTGCTATCGAAGACCGTGGTGATATCCACCTCCGTGCAGGACGGAAGACAATCGCAGACCAGACCCTTACGACCCCGACGTTTGGACCATTTAGCGATGATCACCGAGAGGTCCTCGTAATTGCGATTCAGGCACTCAAGGCCATCCATGTTGCACAACTGCCATTCGGGGGAATTTGGGGACAAGTGACTGGAGCAGTTGCATAACTCCATCTGTCGATCCTTGCGACACTGGACAGTACATGCACTATAGCTATAGAACTTGTGCACATCCAGGATGTTCTCATCTGCGAAACGACAGTTTCTCTGTTGGACACTGGTCTGACGGATCTCTTCATCGTTCTCAATATCACGCTTTGAGATATATCTTCTAAAATATTAAAGTTAATATTATTTAAAAATCCTTATAAACATATATCATACTTACACAAAGGAAATATAGGGTCCTACGACAAGAAAATCCGTTTTAGGTGTGACTAATGTGGGAACCTCCTCAGTACCAAGTATAAAAACCTATTAAAAGTGAAAGTGCTTCTGTTTATCAATTAATTAAGCTTAACAGAGCTCTTAAATAAATACAGCACACTTTTAGGTTGCCATATTACGAACTTAACAAAAAATTAATTTTTAAGGAATGCTCAAAGTTCCATTGCATGTTTTTCTTTAATTTTGGGATTTTCATATTATTAAATCGATAGATAAGAAACTTATTTAACTCACCGTAGCTTCTATATGCAATTCCATTACCAGGGAGCCCGGTCCTCTATCACGATTTGAATACATATTTAGCTTAGGCTCTTTAAGTTTCCTAATTTAATTAACAAGAATATAAGGCATTTTGCAAATAGAAATTAGTTTTTTCCAGACCCACCCAGATTGAAGAGAATTAATGGCATAGCAAATTCCCAGCTCAGTTTCCATGCGATGAAAGTACTTGCAGCACTCAAATGGTTTACCATTCCACTCGCAATTACTTATTGAGTCCACACAACTGGTTCTAACTAATTCAGCGTAATACGAGAAATTTGAGTAAAAACATGAGGCAGTCACTTCTTCGCCACTGCATTCATGAACTGTATGATAAGACTCGCCCCGGAAGAAGGCAATCTCGCTAAGGACCTCCTCCAAAGTGAAGTCGTGATCAGCGCCCCATAGTCTGAAATTTTTGTTAAGCCCCTATTAATATCGATTGTATCATTATACGACTAGATCTTACTGTTCAGCCACCTCCTGTATTCGATCCATATTTTTGGATTCGCAGACTATAATGGCTGGGAAGTTAGTATTCCAATCGCGAAACGAACTCTCCACCACAAAACTGATGGCATTGTTCTCAAAGGCACCTAAATAACAATTTTAAGATCAAATATCATAGCATTGTCTTTGTCACTCACTTAACGAGGCTTTAATCAGCAACCAGGAGGCGTACCAAGACGCAAACAGACAAATAACCCAAAAGATACGCTCTATCCAATTGGCATCCTTGTCCACTATAAACCGGGCTCCATGCAAAGTTGAGTTCTTGAGATATTCCTCTATAATTCGGCTAAATCTCATGACGATTGTGGTCACTTTGAGGTCCAATCTGTGACTAATTTATTTTGCTACTGTAACCATATGTATAAGCTTCATTAGTAACCAAATTTGGTTATCCATCATCTCACTTGATTCCTTCAGCTGTGAATTTTCCCAGACTTCTAACACGCAAGTTGCCGGGAATTAAATCAAGATTGCATGCACTAAACGTTGTTTACCATACACAAATAAAGGCTCAAATCACATTGTATGTTTAACTCATCAGCATCACCTGTATAAGTTATATCTCCCATAAAACACAGCAAAAAGATTCCAACTGGGAAGTGCGAGAGCCTTATAAGGAGTTATTTGTTTAGCTAAAACACCTTAATAGCACTAGATATACTAGCACGTAAAACACATAAGCTGAACGCTGATCGAGGGGGGATATTTGGAAACACGTGCTACATACTTATTTATATTATGCTCAACAGACTTATGTAAAAACCTTCAAGAAAATCATCGTTTTTTATTATACTTATACACTTTTTTAAATTTAAAGGCCTAAGCTGCTATGGGTATATAATTTGTTCAGTAAAAATAAATATTTTAAGAAACACATTTTTAGTAAACCTTAGCCTAAAACAAAAATTTCAGAAATGTATTTTTGCTTGTATCAGGCGAATACCTGATTTGCCACACCTCCAAGAGCTGACCCCTAATTTCTTGATCCACAGTCTAGGCCAAAAACAAATAACCTAATCTGGATTTCAGCTCACGCTTTTTAAGAGGCTTTTCCCCCCTAGGTTGCGCACTTTTCTATATCTGCTTACTTTATCTCGAGATAATTTACAGAGGTCTAGAGATAGGGTCGCACATTCGGTATATTAAAGGTTAACGCCACCCTAGGAACTCCAAACAGTTGATTTCGAAATGGCAACCGCTATAGAACTGAGTCCCAGTGAGATTCGCGGCCTGTGCCAGCGTTATTTGCGCCAGGATATTCCTAATTCGGAAACGGGATTCGATATTACCAGTTATCAACTAAGACCGACCTCGGATGCTCCAGTTGGATATTTGGGTAGCCACTTTTACCTTCAGGTCACTTTGCAGCTGCACAACCCCAAGGAAACCAGGCAATTGACATTCTTTTCGAAGTCTGCACCTGAAAATAATGCTTCGCGGATGGAATATCTGGAGAATTTCGGAGTGTTCCAGAAAGAAATCACTGTGTACCAGAACGTACTTCCAGATCTTCACAAAGCCTGTGCCGAAGTGGCACCAAAGTGCTATTATGCAGATAAGAATTTGCTGGTCTTCGAGAACCTCGCAGATCAGGGTTATCGAATGGGTGCCGGGCGCAATGGTTTGCTATCTTACGAACAGCTCCATTGTTGCCTAAAGACCTTGGCCGCCCTGCATGCTGGTTCTATCATACAGGAACAAAAAACGGGCAAAAAACTACCCGAATCGCAACCAAAATCGGTGGTGGAGAATGCCTATCCCAGTGATCTGCCACCAGAACATTTGCGCATGGTGAACTTCCTAAATGCTTGCGAAGTGCTTAAGGAGTTTATCAAACTGATACCCAAATACCAGACAAAGTTGGACTATATTTTGGAGAATTTCACCAAGAAGATGTCTTATATTTTCGAGGCTGTCAAGACCTCAGAAGTGTATACGAATACCTTACTTCATGGCGATTTGTGGTCCAATAATATTATGTTCCAGTACGGCAAATATGGAGAAATTCCTCAGCAATGTCGCCTAGTGGACTTCCAATTGGCGAGATATGCCCCACCTGCCCTCGATGTGTTGACCGTGCTGACTATACCCACCTCGAAGGCATTCAGGGATGCTCATTTGAGCGAACTTCTAGCGGAATATTACCGCTTTATGACCGAGTTCTTGAAACGAGCCAATTTGGATATAGCTCGTCTTATACCAGAACAAAGTTTTTACAAATCCGTGGAGGAGTTCCGAAGCATTGGCCTAATTGAAAGCTGTTTGTTCTGCCACTTGGTTGTGCTTCCAGCTAGTTCCACCCAGAAATTGACAGGTTCTTCGGATGGCTTCAGCGACTTCTTCGGTAGCAAGCGCATTGAGATTTGTCTGGAGGCCTTCAACACAGATGAGATGTACAGAAATCGGTTGGTGGACATGATCCAAGACTTTGTGGATAATTTCGTATTAAAGGAGAAAAAGGAATAGTGTATATCAACCTTAAATATTGTTAAAATAATATTGTAATTTTTTCTTATTCAACATAATAATTTTTAAAGAAAATATATATACTTAACAAATTCAATGTAGGTATGTGTTTAAAATTAAAGAGGCAAATGAACAATACCCTCTTAAAGGTATTCAATTGACAATGCTTTAAAATTTGAAACTTTTATAAATATTTTTATATATAAATATAAAAGAAAGTGATTCATTACCATGTGCGTATTATTCAAATTTTAATTATAGGCCTAAAAATATAGAAGCGAATCCCTCAACCCCAGCTTTGCTTAGCTTTTGCCGCATGCTTCGTTGAGTTTTGGTTTTCATTTTTGTTTAGCCTCTCTGTTTTCGGTTTTGAAAACTTTCAAGTTGTGTCCAAAACCTGCCCAACGATCTCCGGCTTCGGCCAGTCTCTGACAGTTGGTTAACGTAAACTTAAATTCAGTTGCCAATCGGCCGCGTTCAAATCAACAGCTTTGCGGCTCTTCGAAAATCGAAGCGGTTTTTACGATCCTAAATAAGAAAACTAAAAAAACTGTTTCTGCATTTATTTTAGCCGAGTTGTAACATTTATACAAAATGTGAGTTTGATTTGTTGTCAGATTAAGTGTTGCATTTGTACAAATCGATCACAGAACTAAATATCGCGTAAAAATATGGATATTGTGGTGATCAATTTTGTAAAAAAAAAGTTTATATCCAGTGCCCTTACTTAATTTTATTAACACAATTAACATTTTGAAAATAATATCATAACAAAATGTAGTATTTATTATAAACAATTGAGATTTTGTATATTATTTGTACAACCCATAAAAAATTAGAGCTAAAAAAAAGTAAGATCTTAGTAAGATCTCTAGACAAAAAATTGCATAACCTTTATGCATGAACAAGGCGATGATCCCACAACATAACTTAAAAATTCGATACGGATGCCACCCACAAAGAGCCAAGAAAAACTGTGACAAAAACTATGCGAGCCACAACAAAATTTAAAAAAAAACCATAAATAACTTGACCTATCACAAGAGCAACTACAACAATAAAGTAAAGTCGGCAACACTGACTGACAAGCATAAAACCTTAAAAAAAGACCAATGACGGGTGTACTCAACACATAATTCAGTTTAATGGTCACGTTTTTTTAACAAATGCACAAAAATGTCCAAGAAAAAGGCGTCACTAAAACCAGCCACAATAAACCTTAAATAATAATAACAATAATGCAGTATACAAAAAAAATTGTTACGATTGTCATGTTGTGCAGTATTTTCAATTAACCCGCGTGAAGACCCAAAACAAATGCCAAATGCTTAGCCCACTTACGCCATTTGGCTAATAAATATGATCCACAGTGACTGCATATCAATATTGACCACAAATGTTGAAAGGAGGCGTGGCAGTTGGGGCGGTATGTGTGTCGGGGGGCGGACAGTTGAATTTACCTTTTGGAAATACGTGATCCATAAAGCTGACACACTTTTTCGGTAGCGTTTATTATGAAATTTTTAATTGGGCTTTATTGAATACTAATGTAGATCCCAATCAATTTGAAAATTACCTAAATCTTTTAGTTGTAAAACTTCAAGAAATTAAGTCAAAGTGCCGTTACTTAAGATTGAACAACAAAAATAATATTTTCCAATCTTAAATGGAAAAGATTTTGGGAGCGTAAAAATGTCTTGCTATTATTGGATTTTGTTTATTGAAAAATATTCGTAAAAGTACTCAAATTTCTGAAAATTACTTATAAAATTTAATTTTTGTACTCTCGACATCTTTAAAGCTAAATGATAATAATAAAGACTACGGTATATGTACCTGTCTAAAAAAAACTCCTGTGTGTAAGCTAAATTATTTTAGGAGGCAACTATAAAATAATAGCTAGCAACTATTTTAATGACTTTTTGCAAAACACTCTCAAAAACATTACAAAGAATAACATGTAATACAAGAGTTTTAATTAAAAACTTCATGGGGAAATGAAATGTGCATAAAACAAGGGAAATACCATCCTCAACGACGGCAACCTTGAAACGGCTTAAAGAGTTCACACTTTCGAAAATTAACGATCACTTGCCGGCTCAACTTGTAATGAGCGTTAAGTGGGAACAGGGTTTATATCATCTCTGTTATTATTATTTCGGGCTCCAGTTGTGTACCAAGGTTCCTGTGACCTTTCACCCAATAACGGTAGCTATCCAACCCAATTCTCAGACCCAGTTTCTTGATCCCACTCAATCGAGGGAAATATGTACGAAGCAAAAATTGTAACAGATGCGTTGAGCATATTTCCTCATTGTATGCAAAATAGTATAAACAAATTTGTGGTCGTCGTAGCATAACAATAATACACAATACGTCAATCTTTGTCAATTAACCACATGACCCAAATTGGGAATGCTGGAATGGAATGGAATGAAGCGTCGTACATGCTATATCTTTGTATATATGGCTGTGAAAAGCGAAAACTGCAGCGACGCGGCGTTGACGCCAATTGGATTCCATTGACCTAATCAGACCCAACAACAACAAGTCTCGTAGTTGCAGATCGTAAGTAAGTAGTCAGTTAGTCGTCCCAACAACAATTGCCCGGTGGCTTGGTATACAAAATAAGCACGAAAACCTGAAAATGCCAACACATTTTTGACTGGGAAGGCTGCGGTCTTTTCGCATGCACAAAACGCCAGAATTGCATAAGATGGCCGGTAAAACGGCTTGGATAGCAACCGGAGGCGAAATGCAGCCAACAAGCGATGGGACATCACATGGGTGTGATCGAGGGGGTCTAAACTGGGGTATCCCCACAAGGGTGGGTCAATGAACTGAACGGAATGGTCGAATTCAGGGTGACTTTTCTTTTTTCCTATCGAGTCTTATCAAAACTCAATGGAAATATCTTAAAACTATTTCATAAACTACTTTTACCATTTATATTATATATAAAATATGGTTTGAATATGTAGTAAATTCGGCTTTAAAATTTCAGGAATAATGTCAAAGCTTCTTGGTATATATTGATACCGACATTAATACTTAAGAAGCGTCAGCTGTATTTATAATAGTACCCTTTCGGAATCTTCTTAAAATGGATCTTAGACAGGAAAAACAAATAGTAGACTACATCTTAAATAGCTCTATTAAGGGTAGCAGACATATAAATGGTAATATTTTAGTTAGTATCCAGAGAAATTAAAGTTGCATCATAAAACCTTCCTCCCCTCTTCGACTGAATAAAAATCGCATTATCAAGCCCGGCTTTGGCGATCTTTTCGCCATATAAAATGCCATGAACCCTCGGCTAACCATGAGTTGGCAGGTTGACCGAAGGGCGGCGGCAAGGCAGTCTTTTGGCCAACCAACCAGACACTGCGAAAGCGCAAGTGCCGCAAGTGGCAATATCAAGTCCAAAACTTACATCATCGGCCAGAAACAAGCGGCAAGCGGTCGTCACTGCCGGTTATCCAATTAAAAGCAAAGATCAGGGATCTTTTTGCAGCCAAAGTGGGCCGCATAAGCCAACTAACAGACGCATGACGCTGGAAAATGCATATATCTGCAGCAGAGTTTTTCACCTCGCAGCACGCGACATCTAGGAAATGGCAGTCACATGACAACCGAGTTTTGCCACGGCAGACAAATCGAAACTCCCAGTGACCACAGTCAGTGTTGCCAGGAAAATGTCTTAAAGTATATATAAAATTAAGGATCTTAACAATCTTTTACCAAATAATCCTTTTACTATTTAGAGATTATTTTTTGTAAGATAAAAATCAAAATGTTTTGAAAAAACTTGGGAACTAGAGCATAATTTTCGGTGTTCTGAACTCTTTGAGGGTATTTATTTATTTGGCTTTAAAATATTATATATATCGTTTTATATGAGTTTTACTGTGATACATATAAAGCCGAATGGCCAGCACTGTCCCCTTGTGGAAGCCCAGTCAGCTGACTTGGCCAACAAGTTGTCCCGGGCTCCCGAGAGTGAAAAGCGGTCATTTAGGCGTGGACTGGATGCAGTGGATGGGGGATGGGGGATGCGTGTGTGTGCGTGACAGGCGGAAACTTGTAATATCATATGCACGCCACAATTATGTAATGATCATCACGATAATACCTTAAGCCGAGCAAGTGGTATCTGTCAGTCAGCCGAATTCAACGAGGCGTGATCTTCCTCTCCTCTGTCATTCAAGGTGCCTCCTGCCCGGTCGTTTCATTTGGTCAGCATTTTTTGTGACGATGGTGGGTCTATCCATAATGGTCGAGGCCAGGCCCCAGAGGAATCTGCAGCACATTGCCGTGGTGGAGAACGCCGCCTGGGAAAAGACCCTTCCACAGCAGTTTCAAAATCCCTTTTACAACACACCCAGGGTGAGGGACGCCCTGGCCAGATCCAGTTGGTTTGGACCCGGCGAAGAGGTGGTAAGTACCATAATACTAATCGAAAGATTTGTATAAATGCAGTGCATGTATTTGTGTTAACTCAACAATTTTACATAAATGCAAAAAGTATTTAACAACATCATACAACATCTCGTCAAATATATCTAAAGTATTTGTATAATTTTCCTTCAGGTTTATGACCGTCAGGCTGAGAAAATTCCACGCATGGAAATCTACAATGTGCTGTCCCATGCTGGTTTAATACCACGTCGGCGTTTTCTTTAAATTAACAAATATTTTAATATCGTTTATGTACTGTAATATTATAAAAATAAAAGTCAAAGTCATTAGTTTAGGAATAAACAAGGTCTATGATTCTATGAAATAATTAAGGGGGAAATTGAGAATATTATGAATTCTATACTGTATTTCTTATATGCTTGAAAAGGAAATGTAACTAGAATATATTATTTATCTTTACACCCTTTTCACGAAGAATCTATAGCCACGCATACATAAAAAAACGTCTTTATTGCATTATGACTTGTATTACCTACTTGTCTTATACAAAAATAGAAGAATTTAAATTTGTTAGAACAACTAATAGTTTCTTTACATTCATAACCTCAGTTTGGTTCTCAGCGCCGTAATGGTCTTCAATCGATTATCCAACGCCTGCTGGTCAAGTTCTTCTCCGGGTGGCAGATCCTCTAGCTTTTCGTTCTGCTCCAGCAGGGTTTTTCGGGTGTCCAGTGTACTTTTTGTCACCTCATCCAACTCTTCATCCTCCGGCTCCTCATCACTGTGGCCGTACGACACTCCATTTCCATTGACCATTCCTCCATTGGTCACTGCGGCTTCTTCTCCAGCTGCTGACGAGTGCCGTAAGGTTGTGTCCGCCGGAATTAGCAGCGATTTTACAAATTCACCACAAATCAGGCTCATGGCAGGCATCGTGTGGGCGGAAAGATTGACAAACTGTAATACAGAAAAGAGAAATTAATTGGCATTGACCTTGCTGAAGTTCAAAAACTGTGTTAGTAGTGGCTGTGCTGTGCCTATTTTTGGGTGCAGAAAAAGCTAGATTTATATATACAACCTGTTTTAATCATAAACATAAACAAAAGCGTAAAACATAAAACTAGAAAATAAAGAATCCTTTAAAATCCTTATTCCCCAAGACATAATAATAATAAATTTAAACATTTTCAAATATACATTTTATATTAATTATAGCATACTACTTTTTTCTGTACTACTTTCTTGATTAAGCCAAAACAGAATCCCTTCAAACCACTTATTCATAGCTTTAAAAAAGCTTAAAATACAACACTATTTGGAGGCGTCTGTACTTGAGTCTATTTTGGATTTTTTTGGGTGTCGAGATTGTGGTTCAAGTTCGGCGTTGGACAATGATAATCACATGATTACTACTCTGTTTCGGTGTTGTCATTGCGGAGCGTCTTTTAAATGCGCCGAGTGCCGTGTCTCTATTAACCTTCGCGCATGCGCCTGTGGATATTGTTGATCCAATTTTATGCAAACTAAATGGAATTGGCAAAAACAATCCAAGTGCAAACATGTCTGTCAATTCGTTGAGTGGCAAGTTGAAAAATATTATTGTTTTTCCCAGGAAAGAAGACACTCACAGATGACTCAAAGTGATTCAGTAGCGATAAGCTTGAATCCAGAATTGAGTTAATTATCAGCAACCGACTAAAACTAGTATAAATCCTCGAAAAATACGGCAATTGACGAAAGTAATTAAGGCAAGTACAATATTGCAAATTGCAACAGTGTCGGGAAAATTTACAACGTCGAACAAAGCGATCTTAATTATTGGCCGAACATAATCGAGTATTATTGGGGAAAACTAAAGTGTCACAAGCACGCAATGGAAAGCGCTCGAAGCACGCATAAACAATAAATTGAGGGGACAATGGCTTGGCAGAGAAGGGGGAATGGGTTCAATAAATGAAACAGTGGTACAGAACCTAATAGATAACTTTACATAAAGCAAAAGAATGTTCGTAAACAATTGTAATATATTATACGATAACTACAATAGTAATTCGAGTTTAAGCACTAATTCATGTACTTCCCTCTTCTTAATTAAATTTCAAAATTCGCTTTAGAATCCAAACCACCAAATTAAAAATATAAAACCGTGAATTCTTTAGATCAAGGAACCAACCGAACTTCAACAGACTATCTTTCTGAGTCATTAACATCGGTATCGGATATGTAAGACCTATTTTTTCAGTAAAAACAAGGGAGAACGCTATAGTCGAGTACCTCGACTATCAGATACCCGTTACTCAGCTAAATGGAGATATGCAAGCAGCAAAGCGAGATTCAAATGCGCCACCTAACGGCGGTATACAGATTTAAGCGTTATGGGCGTTAGAGTGGGCGTGGCAATTTTTTTTTTGGATCAATCGATAGGTATTGACGAGACCAATACATTTCAGTTAAAATTTTTTATCTAGCATGAAAATTGTGGGCGTCACAGGGTTTTGCGGTTTGTGGGCGTTAAAGTGGGCGTGGCAAACTTTTTCTTGGGTCAATCGATTTTCTATCTAGCATCAAAACTGTAGGAGCCACAGTTTTGGGCGGTTTGTGGGCGTTAGAGTGGGCGTGGCAGTCTACTGAAACAAACTTGCGCTGCGTAGGAAGCTCAGGAATCTGCACGCCAAATCTCAATAGCCTAGCTCCCATAGTTTCCGAGATCTCAGCGTTCATCCGGACAGACGGACAGACGGACAGACGGACAGACGGACATGGCTAGATCGACTCGGCTAGTGATCCTGATCAAGAATATATATACTTTATGGGGTCGGAAACGCTTCCTTCTGCCTGTTACATACTTTCCGACGAATCTAGTATACCCTTTTACTCTACGAGTAACGGGTATAAAAATCACTTTAAAAAATGTTTAAAAAAATGTCTCCCAAATTTAGTGTCCTCCTAAGTGTACGATTTCTCGATCACATATAGTAAACAAAAAAATGTGATTCTTGTACTTTTTTGTTATGTGTGATACTTTTTACGTAATTGGTTTACAATGGAAATATTTAAAGGATAGATTACAACTACATTTGTGTATGTATTCGATGTCGACTTCAGAAAGCCAGAATGTATACAAATACTATTATATTTTTGCTATGGTTTTTAGCTTCCGATTCCACTGTGCAGCGGTGGGCGGCGGTGCGCTTGCACCAGCTCCCCATTGCCCGTTCACAATGGGCACTGGCAAGTGCACAAGTCATCCGAGCAAAGAGCACAAAAGAGCGAGCACAACCCACAATAATAACAAAACCAAGAATTACGGAGAGCGGACGAAGCCGAATCCCATGCCGAAGCCGAAGTGGAAATCCGGAGCCGAAGTCGGGAGCTGCGAGTATAAATTGCCGAGAGTCGCGGCGACAGCTCAACACTTTACCGTTGTGTTCCGCTGAAACAACCGTTAGCCGGAAAGAAGAGAGCCGGAAGCGCGTGCCGCTAAAGTTTACGGAAATAAAGGCGGACAAAAGTTCATCCTCGCCTGCAACTGACAAAGTGCCAAAATCCAGATTAAACGATTTACGATCCAATCACAAAAATAAACAAAATTCCGGACGGTGCAGTGGCGCATTAGAACTCCAACTGCAACAACACCTCCTTCTCTTCACCCGCATCCGGGTAACGGAAAATCGGGAAATCGGAAAATGTGGCCCAACTTCGTGGCAGTCATTTCCCTGCTGTGCCTTGCATTCTTTGCTTGGGCAAAAGCTGGACCTGTGCCAATAGTGAATGAGGTGAGTGGTTGACAGGGGGGCATTGGGGCATGCGAAAAAGGAGTACAGCAGGGGGCACGAATTTGGGGCAATGACTTCACTCGCATTCCGAAATAAAATGGCTGCCAACTGCAACATGCAGGAAGTGCAAACTCGCTAATTAAAAGTGGGCGTTGAGAATCGCGAGAAAAACAAAGTGCACTCTTAATTAAAAGATTGCTTTTGAATTAAAAACAGCGGGGGAACAAAACCATAAAAGGAAAACATGATATAGGAAGTCAACAGTGGGATTACACATGCAGATTTTACATAACACCTACCACCTATGTGTTTTTGATTCCATATGTTAAACCCAACAGAATTCAGAAAAAAACATATAGGATTTACACTTCAGTCTACCCAAACTGTATAAATACGGACTTGATTTAATCTACCCTATAAGTTGGGGAATGAAAGTTGAAAGTAATCAGCTAATGTCTATAGAACTTTGCAGTATTGAGAATTGCAATGAAGTTTCATCAAAGTTATATGATGAAGAAAATCAATTTAAAGATAATGATTATTTTTACATTATTTAAAAACAATAATAGCCCCAGGAAATCAACAAACTTTGTTTGTCGCACACGTTTGCGGCGTGTGTTGCTAATCTGTACAACTATATTTAGATAGGATGCTAACGATTCGTTCCGAAGATCAGCGAGACTTTCTATAGACGACCGCCGTTTATATAATATTCCATATTGATCCTATCCCTTATCAATTCCCATGAAGACTTGACCCTTGATAGAATAAACAAAGTAATTAATTAATAATAAATATACCAACTGATTACTGCAATGATCTTTTCGAAAGGAATACCCCCAAATTGCTGGAGTCAAGTTCAGCAGATTACTTAAATATTATACAATATGGTGGGCTTATCAACATCTCACATGTTTAAGCTATCATGTGATGATAATACCTCTCCAGCTCGATCAATTTCGGTCTAAGTAGACCTATCCCAAAATCCCTAAGCACAAGAGCCTGAATCGTAGATGGTGTAGTTGCTAGGGTACTAAACCTCACATGATTTGCAAAAATCTTAAGAGGAGACACAATTGAAAGGCGGGTCCAAAAATAAAACCCACTTTGAAAAAATAGCGTTATAAATCTCAATGGAAATTATTCAAATTCAGTTGAACGCCAGTTGGGCGCAGACAAAAAGCACAAAAGAACAGTACAACTAAAAAAAGAAAAGATAGTGACGGCATTACGAAACGACGTCAGAGTGTGGAAAACTTTGAACTCCTTTAGTAAGGAGGCTTATTTGCCTTTAAAATTAATCTTTATATTCTTGGACATGAGAGATACAAATATCCTTACTATAATATTTTTTTAGCACCAACAACTGATGCCCAAGGTACCCCAATGGCATTGTCTGCGCTACTTTAAGCATGACGTCCTGATGATGCGCCGCTGTCGCCATTTGCGAGTCCCAACGGCGCCTCGACTAGGAGATGTCCTTAAGCGTAAGAAGAAATAGTATCCGGCCCACAGACAATCATCGTCAATACTCAAAACGACTGAGCAACAAGATCAATTAAATTTACATTTTTTAAAGGATTTCTAAACCAGACCAAAGCTAAATCAAATATATATACTACCAAATATTATAGAACTTCCGGAACTAACAATAAGTCTAACCAACTGTACTTCATAGATATGTAAGATTTCAATAAAACGACTACGAAAACTAAAAGAAAAAGTGTACACAATTGGTTGGGTAGAAAAATTGGGGATACAAAAAATATTGTTGATATAGATTCAACCAAATCTTCAATTGGGATTTTTGAAAAAAATTTACTTAGAAGCCTTTTGCCTTAAATAAATTAAAAAACCAAATAACTCACCGCATTCACAGAACTGTGTTCTCCTCGTTCCACGATTAGCGGACCACTCTTCTCCAGGAAGTCAGAGGAAACCTGATGTTGCTTAGTCACATGAATTCCGAATGTCGCGTGTCTAAACTGACTTTCCGGGGCGGCAGGCTGGGCAAAGCTGATCGGTGCGGGCGCATCGTCTGATGGACTTTGACCCGGTAGCGCCAGGTACGCAATCTTCTGGGAGTGGGTGAGCATTAGCAGCGTGGACTGCGCCTGCCAGTCCACATTGATGGAGCTCTGTTTGGGCTGTCTCCTAGGTAACCAGGCCAAACCATGGGTTTTCGGCACATTACTGCGTTGATACAGAGGCAGCGGAACATTTGGTTGGAACACGTGCACTAAGGGATGAAAAGTTATGCATATTAATAGGATGAATTATGGTTAATTGAAAATTTAAATATACTCACATTCATCATTTTTCGTAATTACAGCCATTAGGTTGGTGAGCGGATCAAACGCGAGTTGGCGGACGGATAATTTCAAGCCCGCCTGCAATCGAAGCGTTAGCAAATTCCAAATGAGAACCCTTGACTCGGTGCAGACTGCCACCAAATGAGCCTGTTCTCCAGCTCCGAATTGCACATGTGAAATCTGCGCCAATCCCTGCAGAGGAACCGCCTTTGTGGGAATTTTCTTTACTTTTATGTTGACTTTGCCATTTAGTTTAGGTTGGATTTCTTCATTCATCTTCGGTTTGCCTTTTGCATTCTTTTTCGGTTTGATATTTACTTCCTTTTTCGGCTGACTGTTCTCGTCCAGCTTGAGGACACTGAATAGAGACATAATATCCTGCGGCACCAGATCCTCGAAGTTTTGCCGCCGTTTGGTCAAATCGTTGAGTCGATGCTTGGCTTTGTAACGATGTCGCCTGTGCAAACGATGCAGTCGGGCGTCCAGTTTGCGAAGCCTCAACTTCGTTGCTAGTGGAATCACTGCTTTTTGCTCGAGATGCTTCAATAAGCGATTCCGAAGGACATGTGGGATGGAGCATTCGACTCCAAAACGACGCAGCAGTTGTAATTTTTGATGCAAGCCAAGCTCTGGCATTTTCATAATGTACCTAAATACCGCCTCCTTGCTGGCATCTTCTGCTTCGTTCACTAACTGTGCTTTGGCTGGAGGACCCACTATTAAATCCTTGGCCTGTTTAATCAGCTTCTCATCATTGCTATTTATAAGGGTCTTGAGCAGATCCCACAACTGTTGCCTTTGCTGGGTAAGTTCTTTCCTGGTGCCATTCAATGGCGACTGAGCCAATCTTAGTTGAGCTTTGGATATTACACCATCTATGCCGGGGGGACAACTCAGTGTTTGAAGGGGCAGTCGCGGATTCCTCGCATCGTAGAGCGCCAAAATGTTTCCATAACCCACGGCCAACAGAGACCCATCCTGCGAGAAGCATATGGAACCAATGCACAGATTTCTGTAGCTTGTCTGTGCCAGGCAGCACCACATCGTACCACGCCTATAGATGCTTTCAGAGTCTGTCAGGCCCCAAACCTTAATTACGTTGTCCTCGCCAGCGGTAGCACATCTCAAATTGTCAACCTGGAACTGATTGGAGAAGGTAATGGCCTTGAAGCCACCCTCGTGAGGTAGTTCAATCTCTGTGTTCAGGGTGTAACTGCAAGAGAATAAATGGCATTATTAAATGTTATTGGGCTGTAGTTTATCACCAATTACCTTTGCAATTCTTCACTATACTGCCAGAATTTGAGACGCACTTCGGCAAAGTTCTCCAGATCGTTATACACCTCTCCAGTGGCCATCCAATTGATATTGAAAGCTGCTCGTGTAATTCGCGTATTATAGACAATGTGTTTTGCTTCCTCACTATATATATTAGAGCCTACTACGCGTAGCTAAAGACGAAAAAAAAATCTTAATTAATATTAAAATCATGAATTTTGAATTTAATATTCACCCACATTATACAACATGCTCTTGGTGTAAGCCGAATAAAACTGCAAATGTCCTGATCTGCCATTCAGCACCAATGTATTCGTTCTCGGATTCAAGCGTAAACCCATAGGGAACTTAGCCCTACCCGTCTTATCTTTTGTCTCATATGTAAAATGCAGCAACGTGGATTTGATATCGTTGTCACTGCCACCCAGCAGCTGAATGGCATTGTCTTCAGTGGAAACCAGGACATTTTCGTTATCATTGCTAACCACAATATGTCGAATCACACTGGACATCCTGGGCAGAAACTTGCGAATTGCCGGACTAGCCAAGTTCCACTTCACCAGTACGCACTCATGTCCACCGCTGTAGAGAGTCACGCCCGAGGGCGAAAAGGCCAAGCTGATCACCTCCGTGTGATGCCAGTGGAAAAGCTCTTTGAATACTGATTCTTGCTTTTCGAAATCTCGCCACACAAAGATCTTTCCTTTGGTATCTCCGGTGGCCGCCACCATTTCACATTGACTCATCCGAACACAGGTAATGGGTTTTCGATTGTAGTTCTTAAAGCGGCAGAAATTCCAGGTCTCGTAGTTCACGAAGTATATGTAGAAGCCCTGAGCCAGGATTATGTACTTGAACTTGCCCTTTCCCACGTCCACGATCGGAGTGCGAACTCTGTACGGAAGAGATTTCGAGATTTCATTTTTAAGAAAATTTAGAAATCTTGAGATGTGATAATATTTGCCAAGGAGAGGGAAACTCACTTCAGCTTGAGGCCACAGGTGATTTCGATCTGATCGCCAGTACTCGTGTTGACCACAAAATAATTGACCTTGTCGCCACTATTCTTCTTCGTGGTAACAAAGGCGCAGGCTGTGTCGCCACCTTTATACATATTTATCAGGTTGCAGGTCAAAATGGTCGTCTGTCCACCAGGCAGCTTCAAGGATACGGTTTTCTTTACCACACCCGCACGCCAGTTCCAGCGGATTATCTCCCCGGTGCTCATACACCCGATCAAGAGATCCGGTTGCTTCAGATCCAATTCCAAGCTGATCAACGGTGCCGTGGCATCATCCAAAACCCGGGTAATTTCCCCCGTACTGGTGGCATACACCTGCACCTTTGTTTCACATCGCACGAACATGAATCTGGTAAACAAGAATCATAGTGTTACATATATGGTACTATATAGTATCCGTTGGGTACTAACCTTCCATCGGGCGAAAAGACAGGCGCATGTTCCACGATGTTGCCGCCCGCCAGGAACTGCAGTTCCAAACGGTCCTCGTCGTCGAAATTCATGGTTGTCCTGTCGCGGATTCGATGCACTGGTAAGCCTCAGTGCTCCAGCACTGTCCGTGAAAAGGAAATTCGCTCAATATACGCGATTTAAACCACTTTTCGTGTGTTATTTCCTAGTAAAATTCAATCACATCAATGCACGTGTAGCTAAGTGTGCCCGCTCACTGGGCGCCAAGAAAATATATACTAAACTAAGTAAACGAAAATATACCAGGTGATGGTTTGGGTCATTCTTGACGCATTTTAATTTCAAAATTCAAATAAAAATTTAACGTAAAAGTTATAATAACTACAACGTAATGATTTACAGTTTCTTGCTGGTTATTACTTGTTGTATATACACTTATTTTGTTTTTTATAAATATATATTAACATTAACAATAATTAATTAAAAAGAAAACATTAACAATTGTATATTTTTAACACAATTTGGTCGTTTTGTAATTATTTATTTAAATCCAAAGTAAAATTAAATGATATAAAATATATTTATAAAAAATACCGCAGCTCGAAAAATACCAGATCCAAAGAACAGTTCCCCGGTTCACTGGTTCCTTCAGTTGAGAACCTATCGCGAAAAGGCTGCACTGGATAGAAATAAATTTGTTAATGGATTTGTTCCGGCCCCGTCAGCACGGCAGTACCATTTTAGCGGACTAGGAGACGGACCCGACAAGGATTTACAACCGGGGAAAACAACCGCCAAAAACGAGGCCCTCCGAATGGGGAAAATGCAAAGTGAACTACAGGCCACAACAACAACAACTGCTGACATGTGCAACGTAGCATGTAAAAAGGGGATTTTCTGGGACTACTTGCGGGCAAGTGGTCAAAGGACTTGGATGCCCCTGCTCCTGGTCATTATCCTCATCGGGAGCTCGACTGCCGCAGAACCCCTTAAAGTTATATACGCTGTGAACGCTGGCGGAGAAGAGCACACCGACCTAAATGGCGTCCAATACGATGCGGATCCCCTTAAAGGCGTTGGGATCGCCTCGGACTACGGCAAACACCTGCTGATGATCGGCCGGGTTCAGGAACATGACGAGGTGCTCTACAGAACCGAACGCTATCACACCACCACCTTTGGCTACGACTTACCCAGCGATGGTGATGGAGATTACGCCCTGATAATGAAGTTCTGTGAAGTCTACTTCGATGCGCCACAGAAAAAGGTCTTCGATGTGCTGCTCAACCGAAAGCACACGGTTGTCCGTCAGCTGGACATCTACAACCAGGTGGGCAGGGGCTCTGCCCACGACGAGATCGTGTACTTCAAGATCAACAATGGTCGATTAAACTACGAGGGCGAGGTGTCCGATGTGCGGAATGGACGTCTGCGATTGGACTTTATTAAGGGGGCTCTGGATAATCCCAAAATCAATGCCTTTGCCCTGCTCAAAGGAGATGTCTCCCAGTTGCCGCGACTGCATGGCACTGAAGCGAGTGAAAGGATCAAGCCAGAGGGCAAGCCAATTGTGGAACAGAAGACAGGAAATCAAGTGGAGAGGGTAGTGCGCAACCAGCGTGAGGATGTAGATGAGGATGATGAAGATCTGGACGACGAGGAGTTCGAAGAGGAGCTTCCCGAACAGCAAAACGACCAGCTGAGTATTGATCAGCCATCCCAACAATCGGCGGACTCCAAGCGATCATATAGTGGCCCCCGTCAACCAAATCCGTACTCGATGGACGACTCTTCGATCCTACTGCCGGTTTTCATCGCCATCGGGGCCTTTATACCGCTGCTGTTCTGCCTCTGCAAGCTGTGATCCCCATCCGTTGCCCACTCAACGATCTCGGCCTGCGTTGATTTCCTGCTTTGTGATTTTGTGATTTTGATAAAAGACTTAATTGTATACTTATCGTTTAGTTCGTACGTTAGGCATACCCTAGAGATCGGCTCCCTCGATCCCAAGACGCACAGCTCTCTAACGGCCCTGTACTTTCCATATTTGATAAGCAATTTTTTGTGTTCCTTTCGTTGACCACTGCCGTCACAGGCTCGGGTACTTAATCGTTGAGTCACTTGATTTACAATATATTCCCGGATTGGTTGTTCGCTGGACTCGGGGGTGTGCGCACAAATTTTAAGCGGTTTTTGGGACAGTTTTGCTTGGAAACTGTTAATTTTGAATGAAATTAAATAAAATAAACCTTGTTTGTTATCGAACAAAACCGTTTCTGATTATTTCCATGGTACCTTTTTATTTACACGCTCGAAATTTTGAAAAATTCCAGGTCTAGGCTAAGATTAGGTTAGTCTTTTTCTGACCTACTGATAACCTCCCCCTGCATAGATTCAGTTAATTTTTGCTAAATTAATGAAAATGAACAGGTCAATTGCTGGATATATGACTTTCGAAAGTCAATTTACTTTTTTGTTTTATAATATTGTATTTTGGACAATAAAAGTTTAATGCCATTAAACAGATCTTAAAAATTGTAAATTCTTTTGGTACGTTTTAATTGTTTAGAAAACTAAGCGTATAATTTTAATTTTAACAGATTGAATATAACTAAAATAAGGATTGGGAGTATTTTTATCTTCTGTGTAGGACTAGTTCATTTTGCGAACCGATAGCCGGCTAATCGCATGACAATCGGAATCGGTGCCATCCCTGGCGGATGTCCTGCTGGGGCTGGAAAACTGGCGTCGCGAGGAAAATTCAGTCATCAGCGCGTGTCCATCGAATCGGCAGTGAAAATGTGCCAGCGGCGGTTCTTCAGCAGCAAGTACACCAGTTTCCACAAGAACCACATCAAGTTGTTTGCCGTTTACATGAAAACGGCGAATCTGATGCAAAACTTCAATGTGCTGAAGCGTTCGCTGTAAGCGCTGCTGCGGTCGACGTCGCAGCCGCCGCCTCCTCCTCCCCCCGCAGAAAAAAGAAAATTAAAATAAAGTTAATTCCGGGCTGTGTGTGCTAGTGTATTTAAAATAGTGCTGAAAATCCTTTAACGCTCTAATGCAAAAATGTAGAAATGTCTGAAAGAAAAACCGAAAAGCTGGTGAAAATCCTTAATAAGAAATATAACAATTACAATTCAATTTAGGCGTGTCTAGCTAAATAACGGTAAGTTCCTTTTCCTCTTACATAATAACAAATCGTATGATTTAGGGACTTTTGAATATTTTCCCAATTGCATAATATTGGAGCCACAAATTCGGTATAATGTTTGCCGACTTTTCGCCTATCCTTTCTTCAGAATTTGACTTTGCCAAAAGACATAAATCCTTTGGAAAAAAACATTCTGTCATCAGGTGTAGGAAAAAAAACGTATCGCTCTCTCTCTCTCTCTCTCGCGACTCTCCCTCTCGCAAAGTTACCGTAACTCTCTCCCACGCGCTTTCACAAAAATCGGCAAACAGATGTTTTTTGGACTCTCCTATGCGCATGTAACGGTGCCTACGCTAAACAAAAACAAATTGTCTATGCCGACGCCATTTTTACGTCACAAACGCTGCTGCAGGTCGTAACAATAACAAAAACAATAAGAACTGCATCCAGCTCTCAAAAGCAGGCTACATTTCTTGCACTGTCGTTGGGTGTCTATGTAAGGATGTGTGCGTGCGTATGTGTGGGAGTTTTATATAATGCAAAAAATACCGCAAGCGCATACTTTGTTATTGTCCTTATTGTTGTTGCTGACGTGTGTAATGATTTTGTTCCGTCATGTGGACAATGGCATTAGTAGACAAACAATATTTTTGAGCTTAATCTGCACTTCAAAGTTGACCTTCGCTTTTCTGACTTTTCAGGTACTATATAGAGTGGAACTTAATGGGTATGCCTAATATTTCTGAAAATTTACTAAAAATTCAATTACTTTAATCTCTGGAACTTACAAAAATATAGTTATTTAAAGTTGACCTTCACTTTTCTGCCTTTTCAGGTGCTATCTAAAGTGGAACTTAATGGGTATGCTTAATATTTCTGATAAGTTCCCAAAAATTCAATCACTTAAATTTCTGGAATATACAAAAATATAGTCATTCAAAGTTGACCTTCGCTTTTCTGTCTTTTAAAGTATTCAAAAACCTGTCTATTTTCAATATATTTTAAAAATTCTTAAAAATTAGGGCTTTAAATTTTTAAAGTTTAAGAAAATATAGGCATTAAAACTTTTTCTTCCAAAGTTTTCAACAAATTTTGATTAAATTTCTAAGAAAATAAATCTTTTATAACTTCAGCGATCCTAAATCAGTATACCTTCCCATCAGCTTGGGTTTTTATTATTTAGTTACATATGTATGTGCTTGCAATACAAAATTGTATCTATCAGGCGAGTAATAAAAGTACCAAATGCATGTGAGTGATTTGTGTCCTAACAAATGGGTTTTTACTGTAGTTTGCATTATTATGTTTTTTGGCTCCAAATTCGCTGCGGCAAAGCCATAACTATTGTCCACTTGTCACGCCCCAAATAAGTGAGAACTCAGTTGGGTTTTTTTCTCCTGATTTACTGTTCTGTGCTGTTTAGCCGTGTCCTTTGTCCTTCGTCCATGGTCATTGCAAATGTGTTGTATGTAATAAAATTGTTGTAATCCATTTCCCATGGTCTTTTATCTGTCTGATGAGTGGTGGCCAAGGAGATGGAGGTGGAGGAGCTGTCTCATTTGCTATTTCGGTTCGTCCTGCCGCGTGTCCTTGGGAAAAGCCTGAGGCTTACATAATAGCCGGCGGCGGTGGAGAGAAAGCTTCGGGAGGTTGATGGGCGTTATTATTATTATTGCTATGTTTTCCAGCTGAAAGTTTAAGCCGCACACACGCACTCAACTTCAAGACTAATGAACCTAAAGTGGGAATACGGACTATACTTCTATAGCTTCAGCTCTCCAGCGAGCCATAATTGGGACAACTTTGACGGTTTTCCGCTTATAGCCTTTTGTTTGTTTGCCAAATTTCTTGGTGGGATTGTCTTTATTCATTATCAAAGCCTTTAAAGTATAATTTTAATGGGTTTCGTTCTCTAATACTCGTATTCTAAAATTCATTATTAATTTATTAATGGTAATGCATAGTACTTTTCTCAGCTGTATAAGTACATAAACAGCTTAAAATATTCTATATTCACTAATAACTTGTTGAGAAATACAGCAAATGCCCCAAAAGTGATTTTAATATTGTATAAGCAAAAAAACTGTACTTCTAACGTGAAGGAAATTTACCTTATTACAACCCAGCTTCCCATCCAATTATATACCGCACAGACAATCTAATATGAATTTTTTAGCCATTGTCAGCTCTGGAAATCATTAGCAATATTACTGCATGCACTGCGGGAAATGTTGAAAATAAAGTTATTAATTTCGATTCTTCAGTTGTATATCATAAAATAAGATTATATTATTATTATATTATATATTATATATTAAGAATTATTATTATTATAAATTATATATTATAGAAAGATCAGAACCCATTTGGATTACTAAATTGGATAGAAATACCGTTTTTGGTGTTAAAAGATATTTGTTTTTCATTTTTTGGTCATACAATGTTTTTCAATGCTTTTTCGCAGTGCAAAAGTGTCCCTGTCTGTGGCTTTAGTGTGTAAAAATATATGTATGTACAATCTCGATTCATAAAATCGTCGTTAGGGACATCCAATCAAGGCAACAGACGACGCAGTTTCGCAAAATGAACCCCCATCCTAAGGATTCAATTACGTGCACTTAGCTGCAGTCGTTCAAGTACAAGGATAATGTGTACTCCACAGTCTGTGTCTCGTGGTTTCAGGCCAAAGATAAATGAGCTGCACCCACGCCATCAGCTGCCAACTTTGGATCGATATTATGGAAATGCCACGATATTGAAATGTTTGCTCTGAAAGTGCTGCACACGTTCCCTTGCTCCGTGCCCTTTGCAATTATCAAGGAATTACAATCGTGTTATCCTTGCATACAGGACTTCAGCCCGCAGTCGTGTTATGCCACCAAAAAAACAAAAAGAAAAAAATCAATTTCCATTGCGGGAAACTTGCTTTTCCTGACCATTTGTGGTTGCCTTCATTGCCCTGCTCCTTTAATTATTCATTTCAATTAACTAGACAAAAGTGGGCAGGAATGCAGGGAAATTGCCAACGATGTCCGTTTGAAGTTAAGCATGTCCCTTAAATGACGATTTTATATTTATCAAGACCAACCAATTCCTGAGGATATGCAATGGTTTTTGAAGGTTTCAGAAGGGTTGGTTCCGGCTTAGGTAAATTAAATAGCTATTTTAAAAATAAATGAATTTGAGTCATACAAATCTATAAGTAGCATGTTTTTCAGATAGTTAAGATTAAATTATGGATTACCTTTCATTGAACTTTGCCATTCCTGAACCTCCATATCAAATTGTACTTATTTGTTGTAACAATCGAATAAAATTGATTTTTTGTGAGGGTAAATGGAAATCAAAGATTAAATTGTTTAATAAACCAGAAATATTTACTTATTTCAATACATTTCAATTCAATTTCAATAACCGAAATCTATTTTATCAAATCTTAGTTTTAGCAGCATAGTGTTCTTTAATATCCTACTGGAAAAACATGCCTCTTTTCATATTTATCCAATAATTAGAATGATTTTTGTGTGAAGTGTAAATGGAAATTAAGATTAAATTGTTTAATAAACCAGAAATATTCACTTATTTCAATAAATTTCATTTTAATTTCAATAACCGAAATCTATTTTATCAAATCTTAGTTCTTTAAGATCCTACTGCAAAAACATGCCTCTTTTCATATTAATTAGAATGATTTTTGTGTGAAGTGTAAATGGAAATTCAAGATTAAATTGTTTAACAAACCAGAAATATTCACTTATTTCAATAAATTTCATTGTAATTTCAATAACCGAAATCTATTTTAT